AGTCCATGTTTAGTCCATGTTTAGTCCATGTTTAGTCCTGGTTTAGTCCTGGTTTAGTCCTGGTTTAGTCCTGTTTAGTCCATGTTTAGTCCATGTTTAGTCCTGGTTTAGTCCTGGTTTAGTCCTGGTTTAGTCCTGGTTTAGTCCTGGTTTAGTCCATGTTTAGTCCTGGTTTAGTCCTGGTTTAGTCCTGGTTTAGTCCAGGTTTAGTCCAGGTTTAGTCCAGGTTTAGTCCAGGTTTAATCCAGGTTTAAGTCTTGTTTGTGTTCAGGATGGCAGAGCCGACGTCGTTGCCAATGATTCTGGGGACAGAGTGACTCCTGCGATTGTCGCCTACAGAGAAAACGAACAGGTCACTCTGAACTTTATTTCATTTCATTTCTATTTTCTTTTTCTTTTTTTTCTATTCTGTTTTTATTATATTTTATTTTATTCTATTTTTATTCAGTTTTATTTTTATCCTATATATTTTTTTATTTTATTTTTCTGCAGTTTTATTTTTGTTATATTATTATAGTATTGTATTTCTATTTTATTTTTATTCTATTTGTAAATATACAAATTGTTATTTTGTTTGTTGTTATTGTTTTTTATTTTGATTCTGTTATATTTTGTATGTATTGTGCTTTATTTTTATTCCATTGTATTTTATTTGTATTTTATTTTTTATTCTATTTTATTTTCTGTTCTGTCTAAAATGATCTATCCAAGTAAGAGAACTGTCAAAATTAAGCTGTACTGCGGGACATTTCAGCCAAAGCAGTAACTCTCCACAGAGAAAAGTGTTTGACAGAGCCTTATTTTATTTTTTATTCTATTTTATAGTTATTCTATTTTATTTTATTTCATGTTTTTTCTACTTTTATGTTCTATTTTTTGTTCTGTTTTATTGTAATTGTATTATTTTATTCTCTTCTCTTCTATTTTATTTTATTTGTATTCTAATCTAGTTTATATTTATTTTCTATTTTATTTTGATTCTGTTTAATTTTGTATTTATTTTTGTATTTTATTCTGTTTTTATTTTATTCTATTCTATTGTATTTAAATTTTATTCTATTCTTACTATAATTTATTTCATTTTTATTTTATTAAATTAAATTTTTATTCTATTCTATTTTATATTTATTTTCTATTTCATTTTTATTCTGTTCGATTTTGTATTACTTTTTTCTATTTCTTTTATTTTTATTTTATTTTATTCTATTTTTTGTTTATTCTATTTATCTTCTGTTGTATTTTATTTTTCTTCTTTTTTTATTTTATTCTGTTATTTTTTCCATTTTTTATTTTTATTTTGTTTTTAGTTCTATTTTTTATTTTATTTTTAGTTTTTTATTCTCTTGTATTTTCAATTCAATTTTTTTCTATTTTATTTTTTATTCTTTTATTTTAAATTTTTTTCTATTTTTTTTTATTTTCTTTTTTCAATGTTATTTTTATTCTGTTTTATTTTCTATTTTATTTATTTTTTTCTATTTTATTTTGTTTTATTTTCTATTCTATTTTTTTCTGTTTTATTTTCAATTCAATTTTTTATTTTTTTTTCTATTTAATTTTTTATTCCGTTTTATTTTCAATTCTATTTTTTTATTTTTTCTATTTTGTTTTATTATTTTGCAGATCGTGGGAATCGCGGCGAAACAGGGACGAGTGCGAAACGCCGCCAACACCATCGTGAAAGTGAAACAAGTGCTCGGCCGAAGGTGACGCAAACAAACCCTGCACTTTTAACAGCAGCTCCTCTCAGATGGAAAACATCCTGTTCACCGTGTGATGTCATGTGGTGATACAGGAAGAGCTCCGCTGTGTTTTTAAACTCCACACACCTTCACTAGAATCATCTGGGTCGTTTCAGTCCTGCTCACTTTTTTCACTTTTTTCACTTTTCGATTTTGTGTGTAAATGAAAAATGGAAAAAACAGATAACGGACTGAACCAGGACTAGACCAGGACTGAACCAGGACTAGACCAGGACTGAACCAGGACTAGACCAGGACTAGACCAGGACTAGACCAGGACTAGACCAGGTCTAAACCAGGTCTAAACCAGGACTGAACCAAGTCTAATCCAGGACTAAACCGGGACTAAACCAGGACTGACTTTAGTCCTGTTTCAGTCCTTGTTTCAGTCCTGGTTTAGTCCCGGTTTAGTCCCGGTTTAGACCTGGTTCAGTCCCGGTTTAGTCCCGGTTTAGTCCCGGTTTAGACCTGGTTCAGTCCCGGTTTAGTCCCGGTTTAGTCCTGGTTTAGACCTGGTTCAGTCCTGGTTTAGTCCCGGTTTAGTCCCGGTTTAGTCCTGGTTTAGTCCTGGTTTAGTCCTGGTTTAGTCCTGGTTTAGTCCTGGTTTAGTCCCGGTTTAGTCCCGGTTTAGTCCTGGTTTAGTCCTGGTTTAGTCCTGGTTTAGTCCTGTTTCAGTCCTGGTTTAGTCCCGGTTTAGTCCTGGTTTAGTCCTGTTTCAGTCCTGTTTCAGTCCTGGTTTAGTCCTGGTTTAGTCCCGGTTTAGTCCTGGTTCAGTCCTGTTTCAGTCCTGGTTCAGTCCTGTTTCAGTCCTGGTTTAGTCCTGGTTTAGTCCCGGTTCAGTTCCGGTGAGCGTCACAGACACAGTCGCACTCATTTTTATCTAACTTCACTGTTTCTTCTGTTTTTGTTTTTTTTTCTGACTCAGTTTTGACGACCCAGAGACGCAGACCCACAAAACAGAGACCAAATGTGAGGTGAGTTTAAACCTGGAGACATCGTCCGCGCAGCGTAAAACACACCGAGGACGGGTCAAACGCAGACGACATACTGTGTAGGCGAGTTTCATTGTTGACAAAAGCGTGCGTTGCATGCTGGGAATTATTTTGGTCGGCGGCAAGAAACATTAATTCAACACGACGGACGGAGCGAGAAAGTACGTAAAGGGTATTGATCCCGGTTATTTATCCACTCTAACGGCAGAGGACCCAAGACCATTTGACCACAAATTAGTCATAAGCATCAACGGACGACAAATCACCCTTTTCAACCCCGACAGAGTCTGGACTAGGGACGGGCATTCGATGAAATTTTCTTAATCGATCGTCGGAAGAATTAACGATCGATTATCGATTAATCATGAACGTTTTTATATTAAAATGATCATCATTATTATTACTATCTGCACTAATCTGCATAAATAAATTCAACTTTACGACATATAAACATAACGACTCTAGATCCACATCAGCTGTTTGACATTATAATGTGTTTAATTCAGTTTTGTTCAAATCTCACAGAAACAAAACTTAAAACCACATCACTAATTTACATAAACTAAGTGAAGATAAAACTCCAGCTCTTGTGTCGCTGATGTGGTTCAACTTGTGTTGGATTAAAAGACATGACTCAGGTGAATACAGGTCAGTGTGACCAGATTTGTGTTTGTCAAAACCAGGACAGCGTACGGGGGGAGGGGGGCGGGGCCTCGTCATCCACATTGAGCGACTCTCACCTGGAAAAAACTTTTTCCCACTGGACACAGAAACATATGTGCTGCTTTATCCACTGTGCACATGGACTCACACTTGTCCCAACGCAACGGAAAGTGTGGAATTTCTTCTACAAATCCTGGTTAAATCCACATTTGTGCTTCGGTTCGTTACAGACTGACCCACTGTTTGTGTCTCGCTCCTTCTGATGCAGAGACACATGTACACACCTGTTTGTCACGACACACAAACATACATTCAGTTTGTCGATGAAATTCTTAATGATCAATTATCGATTAATCGACTAATCATGCCCATCCCTAGCGTGGACCAAACCAAATTTCTGGTCGGAATTAGAGATGAGCATGATTACTCGATTAATCGATAATTTATCACTAAGAATTTCATCGATTATGTTCATTTTAATTGACAAACCGAATAACACAAAACGTTTTGTTTCTGTGAGATTTGAACAAAACTGAATTAAACACATTATAATGTCAAACAGCTGATGTGGATCTAGAGTCGTTATGTTTATATGTTGTAAAGTTGAATTTATTTATGCAGATTAGTGCAGATAGTAATAATAATGATGATCAATTTAATATAAAAACGTTAATGATTAATCGATAATTGATTGTTAATTCTTCCAACGACCGATTAAGAAAATTTCATCAAATGCCCGTCTCTACTCCAAATTTCTGGTCTGAATCTCCAACTACCTGGACAAATATTCACTTGGGCGACATCCACAATGACTTGGTGGAAACTCCTGGGCCATTCACAGCAGAAAAGATGAAAACCTCCAAGAGTCTCGATGTGTTGTTGAACTTGTTGAGTCCAGGGTTTGTTAGGATCTTCTACGTTTGCTCTGCAGATGTTTGAAAGTCGTTTAATTCACCGTTAGTGGTTCTTTTCACTCAGAATATGAAAAAGACATTTTCCTTCTTCCGTGCTTCTATTTGTGCGTCCGATAATGCAGCAGGAATTTACCATTATCAGGGAGAAATACGCGAGGTTTCGCACTTGTCAAGGGAAATGTACCCAAAGACGACTCTGTTAAAAAAGAACCACTCAGAACGACAAAGTGTAGAATACTCACGCGCAAGGAGAGTTGCGAGGCTGTGTCCTTTCCTGCTCTGCTCTGCTCTCACACTCCAAGCAACGCTTTTATTTCAGTACATGGCACAAATAGATTACATTTCATGACATCACATTACATATTGTTCACATGTTATCTCATGACTAACAGGCTTCGTCTAAACCCCCCCCATTTCACACTTGATTACATGTTCCGGGTGACAGACAATCTCTTCGTAGTTCTCCAGGGCCTGGTGTTTAGCAGATGATGGGACAAACCCACTAGTTGTTTTCTCCACAGTAGATTATCTTGATGAGTCAGCTGACACATCAGCCGTATCAGCTGATTGTTTTCCTGTCACATCTTGAATAAACGAAACACAAAGCAGTGTTGATAATTTTATATTACATCATGATTTAACTTTAAATGATTCATCCTTTAAATGAGTAACACTTTAATGAGAAATACTTATAGCATAAAAATTCTCTAACAGCACTGTGTTTGACGCTACCGTCTTTCTTGCCTCCGACCAATATATTTCCCAGCATGCAACGCGGGCTTTTAATAACAATGACGTCAGCTGAAACTCGCCTATAGAGGCTTTGCACCGTCACGTGACCCTACAGCAGCGGCACCTACGCCGCCATGACACCGGGCAACACTATGTCACTGACTTCAGCAGCATCGGAGAAACATGGGCAGATTTTGTTGTGTATTTGGTTCTAGACCAGGAGTGTCCAAACTTTTTCATCAAGGGCCACATATCTAAACACAGACGAAGCAGAGGGCCGACTGACGACAGTAGACTAATGCTCAGTACAGGGAATAATTGAAATGTGTGCATGTTTAACACGTTAGAATGAACCACCAGTCTTTAATCATTAAGATCCTTAAAATATAAAATAAAAGATCCTAAATATTAAAAATCTGCTTTATCAAGGTAGATTTAAAAAAAAAAAAACTTGCAGTAAAATATTACTTTTTAATTGATGCAAGGTAATTTGGGCCAATTCACCTGGAAGCACGAGGGCCAAGAAAAAATTGTCTGAGGGCCGCATTTGGCCCCTGGGCCATAGTTTGGACATGCCTGTTCTAGACGCTCTGAAAGAGAGAAAACGATTTGTTTCTTCACTGTTCCTCTGGAAATGACTCATCAGGATCAAACAAGGAAATTATCAAAAAAAAGACGGGAATTATATCTAGAAACATAAACCACGAAGAGATTTCCAATGGTCCCATTAGGGCTGGGCAATATGGATCAAAAAATATATCTCGATATATTTTGCTCTATCTCGATATATGTACAAGAAAAAATAACCCCCTAAAACTGAAAAAACAAATATGACAAATTCCACAAGGTCTTTTTTTTTATTTTTAATTGAAGTGTAAGAGGTCGACAGTTCATACAGGAACATTTAAGATTACAAAAACCCTAATTACATAAATAATAATTTAACTGTAAAATAAAAGAAATAAAACATATTTCCTTCTTTTCATTCATAAATAAAACAACTCAACTCAAGCTCATCTTTGCATTAACTCTGTTCTCCAGACCAGAACCAGAACCATGAGCTCATTTAGCAGAAGAAACTCAGGATGTTCATTATTTTAACAGATCCATGTTCCAGCGTCAGGATCTGAGGTTTAATCCCACAATCCACTGCAGATCAAATCCAACGATTCCAAACACTGTTGTACAAGTGACACTGCAACAGATTATTGATTAAAATATTCTGCATAAATAAACTTTACATGACTAAACTTTACAATATATAAACATAACGACTCTAGAGCCACATCAGCCTGTTTGAGATAATAATGTGTTTAATACAGTTTTGCACACGTGTGTTTACGTTTTACAGAAACGAAATTTAAGCGCATGACTCATTTACATAAACAGCACTTCTCATGCAGCTCAGCTCGTTCAGCTTCTTTTGGGCTAAAGGACGCGACTCAGTGGAACATGAGGATGTTCTGCTGGTGGTTTTGTCTGTAAATGCTGGAAAAGGTTCGTGGGGCTTGAAGCTTTTCACTGGCACCAACTTTCGGTCTTCATGGCGACAGTGACAAGTGAAGGAGACACGAGCGAACAAACTCAGGGAGGCGGAGGCGACGAGAGAGAAGATAAACAAGCGAAGCGCCGAAATCTAAATTTAATATAAACATTATATCGATATATACGATATGTCAGAATTCATATCGAATTGAAAAACTATCTCGATATATTTAAAATATCGATATATCGCCCACCCCTAGGTACCATCAAGACACACGTCACTTTCATCAAGGTATTTGCTATTTAAATTGTTTCATAGTTTATTTAATGAGAGAAGCACATTTACTGAACTAAAATGTCATTAATTTATGGAGGAAAACCTGCACTAGTTTATGATTCAACGAACCCACTGGCTCCTGTGATCAACACGACGCACGAGTCGAAGAGTCTGTGAGACGAACCTCGAAAGAATCGACCATGAAAAGATCCTCGTGAACGTTACAAAGATCCACTCACAAAAAGAGACTAATTCAAGAAGACAAAGTTGTGGATAAACAAGACAATAAAGAAAACATGGGTCCTACGACATGTTTATATGTGCTGGAACATACAGTTTCTACTGAAACTCACACTGCAAATGTTTTCTTTTTACATTTTAGTTCAGTAAATGTGCTTCTCTCATTAAATAAACTATCAAACTATTTAAATAACAAACACCTTGATGAAAGTGACGTGAGTGTGTCTTGATGGGACCAATGGAAATCTCTTCGTGGTTTATGTTTCTAGACATAATCTGCGTCTTTTTTTTCGATAATTCCCTTGTTTGATCCTGATGAGTCATTTCCAGAGGAACAGTGAAGAAACAAATCACCACAGGTGTCAAACATACGGTCCGGGGGCCAGATGCGGCCCTCCAAGACTTTTAATCTGGCCCTCGGCTGATTTTCTACTAAAATATTTTAATGATATTTTCTATTAAAATCTTGTTAATTTTCTGTGGTGTTTATCACAGCAGCGTCTCCAGCGTCTCTGTACGTGGCCCCTCCCACCAGAGCAGCACAAATGAAGACTTGTCTCTTTCCAAACGCTCTTAAAGGACGATCGTTTTGACTGTTGACCGTGACACCCTCATCAGAAAAATGTCCAACATGAGAAAAGTGGAGCCGAGTGCAGGATTTTACAACAAAAATGGACTTATTCCTGTTTACAGACAAGTTCATGTTCAAACTTCGTGTTGAAATTGTATTTTTCTTAAAGTTTCAGGTTGTTCTTAATATTATAATATTTTGTAAAAGAAAGAGTTCATCAATTTGCGTTTCTCTGCACAAATATTTGAACTTATTGATATTTTTAGGGTTTATATGACGTGAGTTTTCTGATCCGGACGCTTTGGGATCAAAGTAGTTTGGACACGGTCCCCGAACCAAAATGAGTTTGAGACCCCTGGACTAGAACAACCAAATACACAACAAAACCTGCTCATGTTTCTGTGATGCTGCTGAAGTCAATGACATAGTGTGCCCGGGGTCATGGCGGCGTAGGTACCATTGCCATGGCGACACGTGATGGTGCAAAGCCTGTATAGAACTCTGGACCCCACGTGACTCACGGTGGGCGACCCGCCGTTTTGGCAGTAAAAAGGGACAGCGCCACCGCCGAAGCTTTCAAGCCGTCAGAGTCCTCAGCTCACTTTAAATCACAAGACACTGAGGTTTATTTCAAAAAATTAATTCAATTAAACATTTGTGACACGAGTTGTTTCCATGACCTGCACCAGTCAAGTCACGGGGACGTTGCACTTTTTTGTTTTTGTTTTGTTTTGAGACAATGAGGATATTTTTTGTTTTATTTACAGCCTTGATATTTTGCACTTTTGTATCTAAGACCCTAAATTCAACATTTTTTTTATGTCCAAAAAGTTTGTTTCTTCATGTTTGTGTTTGATCCTGTAGTTTTTATTTCAGGCACATGACCCGACTCCCGCAGAAATAACAGACTGTAGTGAAAAAAAGGATTTATAACACTTCATTAGGGGGTAAAAGTTTTAATAACGACATTAAGAAAAAAAAATGCAGGCGACGACAAATGTACAAAAATTGTCACGGTGTAAGAGTGACGACGAACGCAGGAATGATTTTTATTCTTTTAAATGTTCAGAGAAACTAAAGATTGTATTTTTAACGTCCTAAAGTGTTTTCACATTTTTTACAGGTGATAGACAAAGGAGACAAACCGTTTTATAAGATCCAGCTGGACGAGCGCACCGAGCACGTCTCTCCACAAGAGGTCGCCAAACTCATCCTGCACAAAATGAAAGGTAACGCCTCCATAACAGACACTGATTTTACTGAAACTATTTTAATATTTATTTATTTATCCTTTAAAAATGTGTTTGTGAAGCTGCTCAGAAAGTCAGACTGTGGGAGACTGTGTGACGTTTTTTTAAAAGAAATCTCCAAACTTCTGATCCACAAATGTTTCTCCGTCTCATTGTGTTTGTTTTGGAATCGGTTCCACAAACCTGGAATAATGAAAAATATTTATGAAATGTATTAAATTATTATCATTTAAAATAATTTCACCTGAAACGCTCACGACTTTTGCACTGAATATGGCTCCACTTTCTGAAGCGATGTCCTGGTTTAGTCCTGCTTTAGTCCTGCTTTAGTCCTGCTTTAGTCCTGCTTTAGTCCTGCTTTAGTCCTGGTTTAGTCCTGTTTTAGTCCTGCTTTAGTCCTGCTTTAGTCCTGGTTTAGTCCTGTTTTAGTCCTGCTTTAGTCTTGTTTTAGTCCTGTTTTAGTCCCACTTTAGTCCTGGTTTAGTCCCGCTTTAGTCTTGTTTTAGTCCTGGTCTCTCCCTGCAGATTGAGTCTGTGTTTGTCGTCGTAGAAACGGCTCAGTCGGCGTTGGGCTCGGACGTGAACGAGGCGGTCATCACGGTGCCCTTCGAGTTCGCACACGCTCAGAAGAAAGCGCTCAGGTACGTCCCGCTCCTCTGTCCCGCTCCGTCTGTCCCGCTCCCTCTGTCCCGCTCCGTCTGTCCCGCTCCTCTGTCCCGCTCCGTCTGTCCCGCTCCTCTGTCCCGCTCCCTCTGTCCGCTGTCCGTCTGTCCCTGTCCGTCTGTCCCTGTCCGTCGTCCCTGTCCGTCTGTCCCGCTCCCTCTGTCCCTGTCCGTCCGTCCCGCTCCCTCTGTCCCGCTCCGTCTGTCCCTGTCTGTCCGTCCGCTCCGTCCATCCGCTCCCTCTGTCCCGCTCCCTCTTTCCCGCTCCCTCTGTCCCGCTCCCGTCTGTCCCGCTCCGTCTCTGTCCCGCTCCCTCTGTCCCGCTCCGTCTGTCCCGCTCCCTCTGTCCGCTCTGTCCTGTCCCCCTCCCTCTGTCCCCCTCCGTCTGTCCCCCTCCCTCTGTCCCCTCCGTCTGTCCCCCGTCCGTCTGTCCCGCTCCGTCTGTCCGCTCCGTCTGTCCCCTCTCCCTCTGTCCTCCGTCCGTCTGTCCGCTCCGTCTGTCCCCGCTCCGTCTTGTCCCGCTCCGTCTGTCCCCTCCCTCTGTCTCCGTCTGTCCCGCTCCGTCTGTCCCTCCGTCTGTCCCTCCGTCTGTCCCCCGCTCCCTCTGTCCCGCTCCTCTGTCCGCTCCCTCTGTCCCGCTCCCTCTCTGTCCCGCTCTGTCTGTCCCGCTCCCTCTGTCCCGCTCCTCTGTCCCGCTCCCTCCCGTCCCGCTCCGTCCCGCTCCGTCCCGCTCCGTCTGTCCCGTCCCTCCCCTCCGTCTGTCCCGCTCCGTCTGTCCCCCGTCTGTCCCTCTGTCCGTCCTGTCCCGCTCCCGTCTGTCCCTCCGTCTGTCCGCTCCGTCTGTCCCTCCGTCTCCGTCCCGCTCCGTCTGTCCCGCTCCCCTCTGTCCCTCCCTCTGTCCGCTCCTCTGTCCCGCTCGTCTGTCCCCTCCCTCTGTCCCGCTCCTCTGTCCCGCTCTGTCCTCCGTCCCGCCTCTGTCCCCTCTGTCCCCCTCCGTCTGTCCCCCTCCCTCTGTCCCTCCGTCCGTCTGTCCCCTCCGTCTGTCCCGCTCCGTCTGTCCCCCCGTCCGTCTGTCCCGCTCCGTCCGTCCCGCTCTGTCTGTCCCCTCCTCTGTCCCGCTCCCGTCTGTCCGCTCCCTCTGTCCCGCTCCCTCTGTCCCGCTCCCTCTGTCCCGTCTCCCTCTGTCCCGCTCCCTCTGTCCCGCTCCCTCTGTCTCCCGTCCCGCTCCCTCTGTCCCCTCCCTCTGTCCCGCTCCCTCTGTCCCGCTCTGTCTGTCCCCCCTCCCTCTGTCCCCCTCCGTCTGTCCCTCCGTCTGTCCGTCCGTCTGTCCCGTCTGTCCCGCTCCGTCTGTCCCCGCTCCCGTCTGTCCCGCTCCGTCTGTCCCGCTCCCTCGTCCCGCTCCCTCTGTCCCGCTCCCTCTGTCCCCTCCCTCTGTCCCGCTCCGTCTGTCCCGCTCCGTCTGTCCGCTCCCTCTGCCCGCTCCCTCTGTCCCCTCCTCTGTCCCGCTCCCGTCTGTCCCCCTCCGTCTGTCCCGCTCCGTCTGTCCCGCTCCGTCCTGTCCCCTCCCTCTGTCCGCTCCTCGTCTGTCCCCGTCCCTCTGTCCCGCTCCGTCCGTCCCGTCCCCTCCCTCTGTCCCGCTCCCTCTGTCCCGCTCCGTCTGTCCCGCTCCCTCTGTCCCCCTCCCTCTGTCCCGCTCCGTCTGTCCCGCTCCCTCTGTCCCGCTCCCTCTGTCCCGCTCCCTCTGTCCCGCTCCGTCTGTCCCGCTCCGTCTGTCCCGCTCCCTCTGTCCCGCTCCGTCTGTCCCGCTCCCTCTGTCCCGCTCCGTCTGTCCCGCTCCGTCTGTCCCGCTCCGTCTGTCCCGCTCCGTCCCCTGTCCCGCTCCGTCTGTCCCGCTCCGTCTGTCCCGCTCCGTCCCGCTCCCTCTGCCCGTCCTCCCTCTCTGTCCCGCTCCCTCTGTCCCGCTCCCTCTGTCCCGCTCCCTCTGTCCCGCTCCGTCGTCCCGTCCTCTGTCCCCGCTCCCTCTTCCCGCTCCGTCTGTCCCGCTCCGTCTGTCCCGCTCCGTCTGTCCCCGCTCCCTCTGTCCCGCTCCCGTCTGTCCCGCTCCCTCTGTCCCGCTCCGTCTGTCCCGCTCCGTCTGTCCCGCTCCGTCTGTCCCGCTCCGTCTGTCCCGCTCCCGCTCCCTCTGTTCCCGCTCCGTCCGTCCCGCTCCCTCTGTCCCGCTCCCTCTGTCCGCTCCCTCTGTCCCGCTCCTCTGTCCCGCTCCGTCCGTCCCGTCCCGCTCCCTCTGTCCCGCTCCCTCTGTCCCGCTCCCTCTGTCCCTCCCTCTGTCCCGCTCCGTCTGTCCCGCTCCCTCTGTCCCGCTCCCTCTGTCCCGCTCCGTCTGTCCCGCTCCCTCTGTCCCGCTCCCTCTGTCCCGCTCCGTCTGTCCCGCTCCGTCTGTCCCGCTCCGTCTGTCCCGCTCCGTCTGTCCCGCTCCGTCTGTCCCGCTCCCTCTGTCCCGCTCCGTCTGTCCCGCTCCCTCTGTCCCGCTCCCTCTGTCCCGCTCCCTCTGTCCCGCTCCGTCTGTCCCGGCTGTGGTTGTCGGTTTGGACTCATGTTGGACTGTGGTGTTTCAGGGAAGCGGCGGAAGCGGCCGGATTCCACGTCCTGAGACTGATCCACGAGCCGGCGGCCGCGCTCCTCGCCTACGACATCGGACAAGAATCCCACTCCGGAAAAAGGTACGAGACGAGCAGAGGAGGCCCCGGTCCGCTCCCTGGTTTAGTCCTGGTTTATCCCTGGTCCAGTCCTTGGTCCAGTCCCGGGTCCTGTCCCTGATCAAGCCCTGATCTAGTCCCAGGTCTAGTCCTGGTTTAGTCCCTGGTTTAATTCTGGTCCTGGTCCTGGACTGGTCCTGGTTCAGTCCTGGTCTGGTCTTGGTCTGGTCCTGGTCTGGTCCTGGTCCTGGTCTGGTCCTGGTCTGGTCCCTGGTCTGGTCTGGTCCTGGTCTGGTCCTGGTCCTCTGGTCCTGGTCCTGGTCTGGTCCTGGTCTGGTCCAGTCCTGGTCTGGTCTGGTCTGGTCTGGTCCTGGTCTGGTCCCTGGTCTGGTCCTGGTCTGGTCCCTGGTCTGGTCCTGGTCTGGTCCTGGTCCTGGTCTGGTCCTGGTCTGGTCTCTGGTCCAGTCCTGGTCCTGGTCCTGGTCCGGTCCTGGTCCTGGTCTGGTCCCTGGTCTGGTCCCTGGTCTGGTCTGGTCTGGTCTCTGGTCCTGGTCCTGGTCCAGTCCTGGTTGAGTTCTGTGTGTCCACAGTCATGTTGTGGTGTATAAACTGGGGGGCACGTCGCTCAGTGTCACCGCCCTGCAGGTGAGCGGGGGCATGTACAGGGTCCTGCACACGGTGACGGACCACAGCATCGGAGGGGAGAGCTTCACCCACGCCCTCGCCAACCACCTCGCCGCCGAGTTCAAACGGTACGCCAACGCCACGGTTTAGACCTGGTTTAGACCTGGTTTAGACCTGGTTTAGACCTGGTTTAGACCTGGTTTAGACCTGGTTTAGTCCTGGTTTAGACCTGGGTTAGACCTGGTTTAGTCCTGGTTTAGACCTGACCTGGTTTAGTCCTGGTTTAGACCTAGTTTAGACCTAGTTTAGACCTGGTTTAGACCTGGTTTAGACCTGGTTTAGTCCTGGTTTAGTCCTGGTTTAGACCTAGTTTAGACCTGATTTAGACCTGTTTTAGTCCTGGTTTAGGCCTGGTTTAGTCCTGGTTTAGACCTGGTTTAGACCTGGTTTAGACCTGGTTTAGACCTGGTTTAGTCCTGGTTTAGACCTGGTTTAGACCTGGTTTAGACCTGGTTTAGTCCTGGTTTAGACCTGGTTTAGTCCTGGTTTAGACCTAGTTTAGTCCTGGGTTAGTCCTGGGTTAGTCCTGGGTTAGACCTGGTTTAGTCCTGGTTTAGTCCTGGTTTAGTCCTGGGTTAGACCTGGTTTAGACCTGGTTTAGTCCTGGTTCTGTCGTGTGGTTCTGCTCTGTGTCTCAGTCCCGGTTCCGTCCCGGTTCTGTTCTGGTTCCAGAAGTTTCCGTCATGACGTGAGTCCAAACGTTCGTGCGATGTTGAAGTTGATGAACGCGGCAGATCAGGTCAAACACTCGCTCTCCTCTCTGGGCTCCGCAAACTGCTTCGTCGACTCCCTGCACGACGGCCTCGACTTCGACTGCAACGTCTCCAGGTAACGCCTCACTAAAGCTGCACTCGGGAACTTTTCGGTCACTCGCTCGTTACCGCTCTGCCTGGAATGTTCCGCAGTGTGACTTTAAACCGCCGGACTTTATGTTTCTTCGGTTCCAGGAGGTTTTATCGCTCGCGTTCTGGAGAGTTTCGTGTTTTTGAGCAGCTGGATACGGAAGCCAAGAGGGGCCACGACAAACGCAAACGCCGCGACGACACAACAAAAGCCACAACAAACCAAAAAAAGCCACAACGGAAGTGACCGCGGGACACTATTTTAATGCAAATGCCACAACACATTAAAAAGCCACAACACATTAAAAAGCCACAACACATTAAAAAGCCACAACACAAACGCAAATGCCACAACACATTAAAAAGCCACAAGACATTAAAAAGCCACAACAACCCAAAAAAAGCCACAACAAACCAAAAAAGTCACAACGGAAATGGCTGCGGGACTCTTATTTTAATGCAAATGCTGCAACAAATACAAACGCCACAACACAAACACAAATGCCACAACACAAACGCAAAAGCCACAACACATTAAAAAGCCACACCCATTAAAAGCACACACATTAAAAAGCCACACACATTAAAAAGCCACAACACATTAAAAAGCCACAACATTAAAAAGCCACAACACATTAAAAAGCCACAACACATTAAAAAGCCACAACACATTAAAAAGCCACGACACATTAAAAAGCCACGACACATTAAAAAGCCACAACACATTAAAAGCCACAACACAACCAAAAAAGCCACAACAAACCAAAAAAAGCCACAACGGAAGTAACCGCGGGACTCTATTTTAATGCAAATGCCACAACACAAACGCAAATGCCACAACACATTAAAAAGCCACGACACATTAAAAAACACGACACATTAAAAAGCCACAACACATTAAAAAACCACGACACATTAAAAAGCCACAACACATTAAAAAACCACAACACATTAAAAAGCCACAACACACCAAAAAAGCCACAACAAACCAAAAAAAGCCACAACGGAAATGACCGCGGGACTCTATTTTAATGCAAACGCCGCAACAAATACAAACGCCACAACACAAACGCAAAAGCCACAACACAAACGCAAAAGCCACAACACACAAACGCAAAAGCCACAACACATTAAAAAGCCCTAACACATTAAAAGCCCTAACATTAAAAAGCCACAACACATTAAAAAGCCACAACGGAAGTGACCGCGGGACTCTATTTTTCGTCGGACCGCTCACACAGCAAGTGAAGAAGAAGAACTACAACGTGAAACGAATAATGATAAAACAATAAATTACTTTTACTTACGTTTCCAACTTCTCTGTTCCTTTACTTTTCACGTTGTAGTTCTTCTTCTTCACTTGCCGCTTGATCGGTCCGTCAGAAAATAGAGTCCCGCGGTCACTTCCGTTGTGACTTTTTAATGTGTTGTGGCTTTTTAATGTGTTGTGACTTTTTAATGTGTTGCGGCTTTTTAATGTGTTGCGGCTTTTTAATGTGTTGTGGCGTTTGTATTTGTATTTGCGTTTGCATTAAAATAGAGTCCCGCGGTCACTTCCGTTGTGGCTTTTTAATGTGTTGTGGCTTTTTGTTGTGTTATTGCTAGGGCCGGGCATGTTAACGCTTTACTTTTGCGATAACTAATTAAGTCATTAATGCTGACAATTATTTTAACGCCATTTATTATTTATTTATTTATTTATTGTAAACATCTGTTTCTCATTGGCTTTTATTTTGAAAAAGTCCACTGCGAGCGTTTCTTTAAAGGTTGTATGGAGGATTTTTATTTTAGTTTCAAATTGTCAGTGAAAGTTTAAAATACCATTACAGAGATGCAGCAGTCTTGTAATTATGATGACAAAAAAAAAAAAAAAGAATGAAAATCTATCAACTGTGGATGTCGTGAGGCCAGATAAACATCAGCCAATAGATAACGAGGCTGCCTCATTTTCTATTGGCTGTTAGGTTGTCAAACAAACTCCCTATGTTTCTAGTGTAACTAACTCGTCGGCGCTGGGATTATGTGGTTTATGCAGCGGTTCTTAGAGGCTTTTTCAAACTGTAGCTTCCTCACAATTCGCACAAAGTTTATTGTGATGACGGACGAGAATCCACGACCAGTTCGCTGCAAAAGAAAAGTCAGTTTTTGAGGTCGCTGAAAGAAGAAGAGAAGTAGAAAAGGAGTGAAGACAAACTGAGGTGATTCTTGGAGATTCCTTCCAGCGATGGTGCGACCGAAGCAGATGAAGGATCTAAAAACTGACACGTCGATCGATAAATTACTTCTAGACGGGAAACTTCAACAGTGATTCTGAACACGCACTGGATGTAAACAAATGTGATTTTTAGAGTAAAGAGGCGAGAGGAGGTGTTTCTACTGAGGAGCTGTGGAGGAGGAAGGTCGTGTCACTCACGCACAACATTTGAAAAAGGACTGTTGCTGTATTTCTTTTCCCTTAAAAAATCCTCTATACAATCTTTAAGTTTAATGTCTTTTCTTTACACTTTTTTCACTTTTTTTCTGACCACATGAGATGCAACATGTCCAAGCCTCCGCGAGCCGCGGGTTCAGCCGCAGGCTCCGGCTCCGGTCGGACCAGCTGTGAACTCTGAGCTGAGGTTATTTGTTTAGTTCAGCGCTGCAGGGGGAGTCACTGATTTACCCAGATACAACTGGAAGAAAAACTGTGATTGGTCCATTTCCATTCCATTATATTAACCCTTTGTTTCCCAAGAAATATCAGTCCAAGTTTATAACACTGATTTAGAAATTATTACTAGTGTCGTGTTTATTACTCACTGCAAAAAAAATATTCCAAAAATATATCAGTAGTACAAAAGGCCATTCAATATTTTTTCTTGAGCCTTCACTGAAGACCATGAAGACTCTGAGGTTCCGATGTGAAAGAAATGCTGTTTGCACAAAAAATGTTTGACTCTTTCATTTACATTTACAATGAAAGTGCAGCTATACTCTACTTTTTAATTCATTAATTGGTTTTGCGTAGAACATGTGATTAATTGTGATTAATCGCTCGAACTCGTGGGATTAATCACGTTTAATTTTTAAAATTTTTGCCCAGCCCTAGTTGTCGCATTTGTATTTGTTGCAGTGTTTGCGTTTATTGTGACCCCTCTTGGCTTCCATAGTAATGCATAAAAAAAACAAAAAACAAAAACACTGTCTAAACTGTTCTCGTATTCACAATAAGTCACAATAGTTGAAACAGTTGGGTGATTCCGGCGTCCACACGTCCACATCCCTCTGTCATGATCCGGGTCAGGGCCGTTACTGTTCCCTGGGGTTCAGTTCACTGATGATTCGGGTCTCGGTGAAAGCTCGGACGCCGTCCCACACGGACCCGGACAGGTTCAGCCCGATGGCGAGGTTCCTCCCACTGAGAAAGGTTTGTATGTTCCCCGTTAAAACCGCGAGTCGTCCTCAGCTCAGCTTATCTCCATGAAACCATCACAAAACAGCAGCAGGTTGTGAAGAAAACACCTGAACAGTTTTGGGCGACGTCTTCGGTGCTTGAGTGAAGAAATGTTTGTCCTGAGGAGAAACTGATGCTTGACGATCTGATGGAAAATGAAGGTTCAGAGGTTCCACCAAAGCCACGAGACAAAACCTTAGAAGCTCTCGAAGCGTATTCAAGATTTTAACTGTGTTGTCTGAGTTTTTTCAAAGTTCAGAGCTGAAGACGTCTGTGTTTTTCCTCAGGGCGAGGTTTGAGCTGCTCTGCTCCTCCCTCTTCAACAAAAGCATCCAGCCAATCAGAACGCTGCTGGACGAGGCGGGACTGAGCTGCTCCGACATCAACCAGGTACCAGGGCAGTGTGGGAGGGCATCTGACACATGACACCACATCTGGGAGGGCATCTGACACATGACACCACATCTGGGAGGGCATCTGACACACCACGCCACATCTGGGAGGGCATCTGACACATGACACCACATCTGGGAGGGCATCTGACTCACCACGCCACATCTGGGAGGGCATCTGACGCACCACGCCACATCTGGGAGGGCATCTGACACATGACGCCACATCTGGGAGGGCATCTGACACATGACACCACATCTGGGAGGGCATCTGACACACCACGCCACATCTGGGAGGGCATCTGACACATGACACCACATCTGGGAGGGCATCTGACACACCACGCCACATCTGGGAGGGCATCTGACACATGACACCACATCTGGGAGGGCATCTGACACACCACATCTGGGAGGGCATCTGACTCACCACGCCACATCTGGGAGGGCATCTGACACATGACGCCACATCTGGGAGGGCATCTGACACACCACGCCACATCTGGGAGGGCATCTGACACACCACGCCACATCTGGGAGGGCATCTGACACACCACATCTGGGAGGGCATCTGACACATGACGCCACATCTGGGAGGGCATCTGACACATGACACCACATCTGGGAGGGCATCTGACGCACCACGCCACATCTGGGAGGGCATCTGACACATGACGCCACATCTGGGAGGGCATCTGACACATGACGCCACATCTGGGAGGGCATCTGACACACCACGCCACATCTGGGAGGGCATCTGACACACCACGCCACATCTGGGAGGGCATCTGACACATGACGCCACACATCTGGGAGGGCATCTGACACATGACGCCACATCTGGGAGGGCATCTGACACACCACGCCACATCTGACATCTGACCACATCTGGGAGGGCATCTGACACATGACGCCACATCTGGGAGGGCATCTGACACATGACGCCACATCTGGGAGGGCATCTGACGCACCAACGCCACATCTGGGAGGGCATCTGACACACGACGACGCCACATCTGGGAGGGCATCTGACGCACCACGCCACATCTGGGAGGGCATCTGACGCACCACGCCACATCTGGGAGGGCATCTGACACATGACGCCACATCTGGGAGGGCGTCTGACACATGACGCCACATCTGGGAGGGCATCTGACGCACCACGCCACATCTGGGAGGGCATCTGACACACGCCACATCTGGGAGGGCATCTGACACATCCACGCCACATCTGGGAGGGCATCTGACACATGACGCCACATCTGGGAGGGCATCTGACACATGACACACATCTGGGAGGGCATCTGACACACCACACCACATCTGGGAGGGCATCTGACACACCACACCACATCTGGGAGGGCATCTGACACATGACGCCACATCTGGGAGGGCATCTGACACACCACGCCACATCTGGGAGGGCATCTGACACATGACGCCACATCTGGGAGGGCATCTGACACATGACGCCACATCTGGGAGGGCATCTGACACATGACACCACATCTGGGAGGGCATCTGACTCACCACGCCACATCTGGAGGGCATCTGACACATGACAACCATCTGGAGGGCATCTGACACACGGCACACATGGGAGGCATCTGACACACCACGCCACATCTGGGAGGGCATCTGACACACCACGCCACATCTGGGAGGCATCTGACACACGACGCCACATCTGGGAGGGCATCTGACACACCACGCCACATCTGGGAGGGCATCTGACACACGCCACATCTGGGAGGGCATCTGACACATGACGCCACATCTGGGAGGGCATCTGACACACGCCACATCTGGGAGGGCATCTGACACATGACACCACAGCTGGGAGGGCTGATCTGGGAGGGCATCTGACACATGACGCCACATCTGGGAGGGCATCTGACACATGACCCACATGTCTGACACACACGCCACATCTGGGAGGGCATCTGACACACCACGCCACATCTGGGAGGGCATCTGACACATGACACCACATCTGGGAGGGCATCTGACACACATGACACCACATCTGGGAGGGCATCTGACACATGACACCCACATCTGGGAGGGCATCTGACACCACGCCACATCTGGGAGGGCATCTGACACACATGACACACACATCTGGGAGGGCATCTGACACACCACGCCACATCTGGGAGGGCATCTGACACATGACGCCACATCTGGGAGGGCATCTGACACACCGCACCACATCTGGGAGGGCATCTGACACACCACGCCACATCTGGGAGGGCATCTGACACACCACGCCACATCTGGGAAGGCATCTGACACATGACACCACAGCTGGGAGGGCATCTGACACACCGCACCACATCTGGGAGGGCATCTGACACATGACACCACATCTGGGAGGGCATCTGACACATGACACCACATCTGGGAGGGCATCTGACACACCACGCCACATCTGGGAGGGCATCTGACACATGACGCCACATCTGGGAGGGCATCTGACACATGACGCCACATCTGGGAGGGCATCTGACACATGACGCCACATCTGGGAGGGCATCTGACACATGACGCCACATCTGGGAGGGCATCTGACACATGACACCACATCTGGGAGGGCATCTGACACATGACACCACATCTGGGAGGGCATCTGACACATGACGCCACATCTGGGAGGGCATCTGACACATGACGCCACATCTGGGAGGGCATCTGACACACCGCACCACATCTGGGAGGGCATCTGACACATGACACCACATCTGGGAGGGCATCTGACACATGACGCCACATCTGGAGGGCATCTGACACACGCCACATCTGGGAGGGCATCTGACACATGACACATCTGGAGGGCATCTGACACATGACACATGACATCTGACACATGACGCCACATCTGGGAGGGCATCTGACACATGACACGCACACATCTGGGAGGGCATCTGACACATGACACCACATCTGGGAGGGCATCTGACACATGACGCCACATCTGGGAGGCATCTGACACACCGCACCACATCTGGGAGGGCATCTGACACATGACACCACACATCTGGGAGGGCATCTGACACATGACACCCACATCTGGGAGGGCATCTGACACATGACACCACATCTGGGAGGGCATCTGACACACCACGCCACATCTGGGAGGGCATCTGACACACCACGCCACATCTGGGAGGGCATCTGACACACCACGCCACATCTGGGAGGGCATCTGACGCACCACGCCACATCTGGGAGGGCATCTGACACACCACGCCACATCTGGGAGGGCATCTGACACATGACACCACATCTGGGAGGGCATCTGACACATGACACCACATCTGGGAGGGCATCTGACTCACCACGCCACATCTGGGAGGGCATCTGACTCACCACGCCACATCTGGGAGGGCGTCTGACACATGACACCACATCTGGGAGGGCATCTGACACACCACGCCACATCTGGGAGGGCATCTGACACATGACACCACATCTGGGAGGGCATCTGACACATGACACCACATCTGGGAGGGCATCTGACTCACCACGCCACATCTGGGAGGGCATCTGACACATGACGCCACATCTGGGAGGGCGTCTGACACATGACACCACATCTGGGAGGGCATCTGACGCACCACGCCACATCTGGGAGGGCATCTGACACATGACACATCCTGTTAAACTTTGACAGTATGATTTTTTTATTCTGAGATGCGTCTGCTCCTCGTCCAGTAAACGTCCATCTGATGTAAAATAACTTTAGTTTAGTTTAGTCCTGGTTTAGTCCTGGTTTAGACCTGGTTTAGACCTGGTTTAGACCTGGTTTAGACCTGGTTTAGACCTGGTTTTAGACCTGGTTTAGATCTAATTTAGATCTAATTTAGACCTGGTTTAGACCTGCTGTAGTCCTGGTTTAGTCCTGTTTTAGATCTAGTTTAGTCCTGTTTTAGTCCTGTTTTAGACCTGGTTAGTCCTGGTTTTAGACCTGGTTTAGATCTAGTTTAGACCTGGTTTTAGTCCTGCTGTAGTCCTGTTGTAGTCCTGGTTTAGTCCTGGTTTTAGACCTGGTTTAGATCTAATTTAGACCTGGTTTAGATCTAGTATAGATCTAGTTTAGACCTGATTTTAGTCCTGCTGTAGTCCTGGTTTAGTCCTGGTTCAATCCTGGTTTTAGATCTGGTTTAAGATCTAGTTTAGACCTGGTTTAGATCTAGTTTAGACTGCTTTTAGTCCTGTTGTAGTCCTGGTTTAGTCCTGGTTTAGTCCTGGTTTAGTCCTGGGAATGAGTGGAATTACGGGGGAAGGAAAAAAAAAAAAGGGGGATTTAGCTGAAAATGTGAAAACAGTAAAATCCCGCCATCTAATCCATTTATTACTCCTCAACACTGACCAGAAGTTTGGGCGACAATTTGCAAATTATTTTCTGTGCTCTGTCCTTGTTTTAAATATAAATAAATAAATAAATAAATAATAATAATGTGACGCACAGAGATGCAGAGTGAACGGTATGTGACTAAAACGGAGACTGGGAGGGCATCTGGCGCAGAGGAGGCGGTAGTTCTTGTTTAGTTTGAGGAGGACTCGAGTGCTCCTTTTTCACAATGTCCTCTTGAAAACAATTACAAACCAGGACAAAGGGACACAAAAGGACACGGGACAAAAGGACGGCGGCGTGGACAGTATGGACATTTTGGAGCTTATTCAACAAACATGAGTCATACTGTTCTTATTTATACAAACTAAACTAATTATCTTTAAATATTTGTCTCAAGAATTTCCCGTGTGGATCAATAAAGTTCGTCTAAGTTTAAGTCTGAGTACCTCCACTGCTCTTTTTTTTTTTTTTTTTCTTTTTTTTAAACGTTTTACATTTTTATTCGACTTTTCTCCTGAGCTCGACGAGGACTGAGGGAGCTCCAGTCAAATGAAGCTCACTGAGGCCTGGACGGGACATCTGGGAGGGCATCTGACAGTTTGAACGGAGTCTTCAAATGGTCTGAAACTCATTTTATTTGGTGTCGTGTCGGTCGTAGGTGGTGCTGTGCGGGGGGTCGGCCCGGATCCCGCGGCTGCAGCAGATGATCCAGGAGCTGTTTCCAGAGGTACGTTTTATTTTACCAGTTCATTAGTCAAACCTCAGCAGCTCAGATCTTTGTATCGTAACAAAAACAACAACAACAACAACATAGAGCTGCTCGATTATGGGAAAAAAATCACAATCACGATTATTTTGAAGTCATCAGCGCAGCATTCATGTGGACTACAGGCTTCATTTATTTAGTTCCATTGTTGAAAATGTGACCAAATGTTTAATTTCCTTTCACTGTTTAGACCAGGAGAGTCAAACTCATTTTGTTCCGGGGGCCGTATCCAACCGACTTTGATCCCAAAGGGGCCGGATCAGAAAACTCATGTCATATAAACCCCAAAAATAACAATAAGTTCAAATATTTGTGCAGAGAAACACAAATCTATTACAGAAATCTTTTTTAATTGATGAATTCTTTCTTTTACAAAATATTATAATATTATGAATGACCTGAAACTTTAAGAAAAATACAATTTCAACACAAAGTTTTAACATGAACTTGTATAAACAGGAATAAGTCAATTTTTGTTGTAAAATCCTGCACTCGGCTCCACTTTTCTCATGTTGGACATTTTTCTGATGAGGGTGTCACGGTCAACAGTCAAAACGATCGTCCTTTAAGAGCGTTTGGAAAGAGACAAGTCTTCATTTGTGCTGCTCTGGTGGGAGGGGCCACGTACAGAGACGCTGGAGACGCTGCTGTGATAAACACCACAGAAAATTAACACGATTTTAATTGAAAATATCATTAAAATATTTTTGTAGAAAATCAGCCGAGGGCCATATTAAACGTCTTGGAGGGCCGGATCTGGCCCCCGGGCCGTATGTTTGACACCTGTGGTTTAGAGCCATTTATGTGTTTTCTGCATTTCTTACATAAACACCCGACCAGATTCAAATACAGGATTATTATAGTATTATATATTCTGTCTGGGAACCTGCTGGAAATACAGTTACAATTCTGCCAAAAAAAAAAAAAATTGAAATCATGATTATTCAAATGATTTTTTGTTGTTGTTACATGATGCATTTATTCAGCATTTCTCTGTCAAAAAAAAAACAAAACACTTTGTTATTGATCATTTATGCAAAACTTTCAAATTGATAATAAAAAGTAGAAAAGCAGTCAGAGAGCGCAGACCTCCGCCAAGGACGACCCCCATTTTTAATATAAACTGCGATAAAATCAGTCTTCTGGATCAGATCCGGATCAGCCTTTGGAATATGAAAGAGGATCCCATTGTCCATCCCTGAGTCAAATTTCATGGGGTTTGGTCAATAATTAACCCAGATATTGACAAACTAAATTTTTGGCCCCATTTACCACAATGTTAACTAAAATTTCAAAGTGATCCAGAATCCAGGATTTCTTCCGGATCAGCCCCAAAATGAAATCAGTTCTTCCTTTTCACATTTCCAACAAATCCTGAAAATTTCATCAAAATCGGTCCATAACTTTTTGAGTTATGTTGCTAACAGACAGACAGACAGAGGGAGGGAGGGAGACCAGACAGACCCACCCACCGTCCCTCCTTCCCTCCCTCCCTCCCTCCCTCCCTCCTTGGCGGAGGTAATAATCTCCATATATGAACCTTAGAGCAGTTTTGTGATGTACAAAACATCAAATGATTAAAATAAACTTTGAACATGAAATAAGGCAGAAAAACATAAACGTGTCCAAAATAAAGACATATCCAGCTCTTCTACAATCTCTTTATTTAAAACATAAAATAAATCCTTATTTATGTAAAAAATATCCCTTTAAGCTTTAATATTTTCAACTCGATTATGAGTTTGGAAATCGATTGACACACAAATCGAAAACGCGATAAAAATTCAATGATTTTTTACAACATGTCACCAGTATTGACAAGTAACACAGTCAATTCTGAGAAGCAAAACGTTCAGTCCCAGTGAAAAATCGAGAGCTCGATAGATCACAAACTCTACTTTACTCTGCTGGTCCTGCTTTAGTCCTGCTTTAGTCCTGCTTTAGTCCTGCTTTAGTCCTGCTTTAGTCCTGCTTTAGTCCTGCTTTAGTCCTGGCTTAGTCCTGCTTTAGTCCTGCTTTAGTCCTGCTTTAGTCCTGCTTTAGTCCTGCTTTAGTCCTGCTTTAGTCCTTAGTCCTGCTTTAGTCCTGGCTTAGTCCTGCTTTAGACCTCTTTCAGTCCTGTTTTAAACCAAAATGCACATTCTTTCCTTAACATTTCAAACTGAAACTTGAGTTAAATCAGGAGAGAAAAGCACAGACATGAGTTTGTGACTCACAGATGTCAGATCCTTGTCGCTGCGCAGAGTCACTCCCCAACCAACCAACACATGATCGGTCGATGTTCTCAGGACGAGCCGACGGCTGAATCAGAGTTTTGCCAGAGTTGGTGCCATTTTCAGATCACATATGCACTTACTTAAATAATAAAACGTCCTTTGCAAAGAACAAAACGTGACTTGGACGACTCCAAACCCGTTCTGAAACTCATTTGAGCCGTTCTGTCTGTGGTAAATGTGACTGACCTGTGCTCGTCTGAAACACACTAAATAGATTTTTCCCATTATTGTGTGTCCTTCTTTCCGATCTGTGTCCGTGCTGGTCCTGGTCTGGTCCTGGTCTGGTCTGGTCCTGCAGGTGGCGCTGCTCAGCTCGTCTCCCCCGGACGAGGTGATCGCGGTGGGGGCGGCGCTCCAGGCCGCGCTCCTGGTCAACCGCGACAGTCTGGAGCTGGACGAGGACTCTGTGGCTGTGGACGTGTCGGCATCAGATATACTGCTCAAGGTCTGGACCGTTTAGACCGGGTTTAGTCTGGGTTTAGACCGGGTTTAGTCTGGGTTTAGACCAGGTTTAGTCTGGGTTTAGACCTGTTTCAGCCCTCTTTTAGTCCTCTTTTAGTCTTGTTTTAGTCTTTTTTTTAGTCCTGTTTTAGTCCTGGTTTTATCCTGGTTTTGTCCTGGTTTAAGTCCTGTTTCAGATCTGTTTCAGTCCTGTTTCAGTCCTGGTTTAGTCCTGTTTCAGTCCTGTTTCAGTCCTGCTTTAGTCCTGTTTTAGTCCTGTTTCAGTCTGTTTCAGTCCTGCTTTAGTCCTGTTTCAGTCCTGTTTCAGTCCTGTTTTAGTCCTGTTTCAGTCCTGTTTCAGTCCTGTTTTCAGTCTGTTTCAGTCCTGTTTTAGTCCTGTTTCAGTCCTGTTTCAGTCCTGTTTCAGTCCTGTTTTAGTCCTGTTTAGTCCTGTTTCAGTCCTGTTTCAGTCCTGTTTCAGTCCTGTTTCAGTCCTGTTTCAGTCCTGTTTCAGTCCTGTTTTAGTCCTGTTTCAGTCAGTCCTGTTTCAGTCTGTTTCAGTCCTGTTTCAGTCCTGTTTCAGTCCTGTTTCAGTCCTGTTTCAGTCCTGTTTCAGTCCTGTTTCAGTCCTGTTTCAGATCTGTTTCAGTCCTGTTTCAGTCCTGTTTCAGTCCTGTTTCAGATCTGTTTCAGTCCTGTTTTTCAGTCCTGTTTCAGTCCTGCTTTAGTCCTGTTTTAGTCCCGTTTTAAACCGTGTTGTATCTCCGTTTCATGCGCTGTAGGAGCTGGATGAGGCGGGCTCTCCGGTCTTTAACGTCCTCTTGGCGTCTGGGACCCCTCTTCCCGCCCGGAGACACCACGTCCTGCAGGGGCCCGGAGCTGTGAGCGGCCTGAGCCTGGAACTGTACCAGCGCCAGGGAGCGGAGCAACCGGAGAGACTGGCCAAGGTCACACACCACCAAACTGTCACCAAACCACCAAAAACCACCAAACTATCACCAAACCACCACCAAACTATCACCAAACCACCACCAAACCACCACCAAACCACCACCAAACTATCACCAAACTATCACCAAACTATCACCAAACTATCACCAAACTATCACCAAACTATCACCAAACCACCACCAAACCATCACCAAACTATCACCAAACTATCACCAAACCATCACCAAACCACCACCAAACTGTCACCAAACCACCACCACCAAACCATCACCAAACCACCACCAAACCACCACCAAACCATCACCAAACTATCACCAAACTATCACCAAACTACCACCACATCACCAAACTATCACCAAACTATCACCAAACTATCACCAAACTATCACCAACTATCACCAAACCATCACCAAACTATCACAAACCAAACTATCACCACCAAACTATCACCAAACCACACCAAACTATCACAAACTATCACCAAACTATCACAAACCATCACCAAACCACCACCAAACCACCACCAAACTATCACCAAACTATCACCAAACTATCACCAAACTATCACCAAACTATCACCAAACTATCACCAAACCATCACCAAACCACCACCAACCACCAAACTGTCACCAAACTCACTCACCAAACTATCACCAAACTATCACCAAACTATCACCAAACTAAACCATCACCAAACTATCACCACTATCACCAAAACTATCACCAAACCATCACCAAACCACCACCAAACCCCACCAAACTGTCACCAAACTATCCAAACTATCACCAAACTATCACCAAACTATCACCAAACCATCACCAAACTATCACCAAACCATCACCAAACCATCACCAAACCACCACCAAACTGTCACCAAACTATCACCAAACTATCACCAAACTATCACCAAACCACCATCACCAACCATCACCAAACCATCACCAAACCATCACCAAACCATCACAAACCATCACCACCACATCACCCACAAACCATCACCAAACCACCAAACCACCAAACCATCACCAAACCACCACCAAATCATCACCAAACTATCACCAAACTATCACCAAACTATCACCAAACCCACCAAACTATCACCAAACCAACACCAAACTATCACCAAACCATCACTCTAGATTCTAGATTCTAGATTCTAGATTCTAGATTCTAGATTCTGGATTCTGGATTGTGGATTCTGGTCTTGACTTTGTTGTTTTGTTGCAGATTGTTCTGAGAGACCTGCCGCCTCAAGAAGAGTCCCACGACATCGATACAGTGGTCACCATGAAGAGGTACTGACTCAGAGCACACAGTGTGTCCAAGGGTGAAGCTGCTGATGACAAAAAACAATATACACACATACACACGTATACACACGTATACACACATACACACATACACACGTATACACACGTATACACACATACACACGTATACACACATACACACGTATACACATACACACGTATACACACATACACACATACACACATATACACACGTATACACACACACGTATACACACGTATACACATACACACATACACACGTACACACATACACACGTATACACACGTATACACACATACACACATACACACGTATACACACACATACACACGTATACACACGTATACACACATACACACATACACACGTATACACACATACACACATACACACGTATACACACATACACACATACACACGTATACACACGTATACACACATACACACGTATACACACGTATACACACGTATACACACATACACACATATACACGTACACACACACATACACACGTATACACACATACACACGTATACACGTACACACACATACACACGTATACACACATACACATATACACACACGTGTACAGTCACACATGCGTATATACATTAGTGTGTGTGTATGTACATGTGTACACACACACACACACACACACACACACACACACACACACACACACACACACACACACACACACACACACACACACACACACACACACACACACACACACACACACACACACACACACACACACACACACACACACACACGTGTCTGGTCAAGTGGTAACGGAGGGAAACAGGGTCAGATTTTTGACATTCAAATGTCTCTTATTCAGAAACTAGAGGAACTATTGAAATAAGTAAAGTATCAGAATGTAGGAAAGAGTTACACTCCAACAGGGTCAAGTTAAACCTGTGAGATTCTTTCAAGATGTTGACAAAAAATGTAAAAACTCATGTCAATAAATCCAAACAGTGATAACTCTTGGTTCTCACTTACATATCCTTAACAAACTGTTTGAATATTTGCTTCATATAGTTTTCTACCATATGGTACAAGATTAGGTTGAAAAACCTCTGACTTTTTGACTCATGAGATTTTTTATTAAGAAAGGTCATGGTAACGGAGGGAAAAGTAACGGAGGGAAAATTGTACAAACAAGTAGAAGGTGCAGGATTTTACATCATTTGTCACTTTTTTCTTCTGAAAACTTTAATATTACTTCAAAATGAAAGAAACTATTTCTATAAAATATGTCAGTCCTTCCAAGAACATTTTTATCATTTTAAATATATATATTTTTTTTAATCCTGTCCCTTCATCAACAGTTCAAAGATGGAATAACACAAGATATGATGAAATACAAACATTTATTTACATGATTTGCAAGTCTGTGAAATTTGGGAAAGAATTTTTGTTCCATGTTTCATTCATGGTCTGTTTAAAACAGATGGAACTTTACAACCAAAAATGGAACAGAAAAAAGGTCAACAGTTTCATAAACTAGAGTAAATATGTATCTGTTCAATACATTTTTATATCAGATGAATTAACTTGAATTTTTGGCCTTGATGTTTATTTCTGCTTGACCAGGACCACACACACACACACACACACACACACACACGCACACACATGGACATATTACGTACTGTATACACACATATACATGTTTTGTGCGTTTGACGGGGTCGACTTCACGCAGCGGTGCTAAAGCTGCGGCTCGTGTTTCCCGTGTGTGCAGGGACGGCTCGGTGCACGTGAGCTGTGTGGAGCAGAGCAGTGGGCGCTCGGAGGCCGTCACCATCGCCGCCGCCGCCTCGTAACCATGGCGACGCTTTCGTTTACCGCAAGAACTCCAAACCTCTGCGACTTTACCCTTTTTTTTATTTACATCAATAAACATGAAATACCACCAAAAAAAAACCCTGTGTGAAGCCTCCTCTCTCTCTCCCGGCTGTGGAAACCTCTGTCTGAGTCTCTCCAACACAACGACGCAGGGAAATGGAAACGTGCTCTTTAAATCACTTTTGTGTGACGATCTTAAAACCTTTTTCGTTTTATTTATTCTGTCAGTGCGAATAAAACAAAAGTGAGATGATTTTTTTTCACCAAAACTTTGTGAATTTAAGGTACTGAAGAATCCAGTCAGGTCCAGCCACGGTCAGGGCATAGAGGAAGACTGATGTTCTAGACCAGGAGTGTCAAACTCATTTTGTTCCGGGGGTCGTATCCAACCCACTTTGATCCCAAAGTGTCCGGATCAGAAAACTCATGTCATATAAACCCCAAAAATAACAATAAGTTCAAATATTTGTGCAGAGAAACACAAATCTATTACAGAAATCTTTTTTAATTGATGAACTCTTTCTTATTATAATATTATATTATTATGAACAACCTGAAACTTTCAGAAAAATACAATTTCAACACAAAGTTTTAACATGAACTTGTATGTAAATAGAATAAGTTAATTTTTCTTGTAAAATCCTGCACTCGGCTCCACTTTTCTCATGTTGGACATTTTTCTGATGAGGGTGTCACGGTCAACAGTCAAAACGATCGTCCTTTAAGAGCGTTTGGAAAGAGACAAGTCTTCATTTGTGCTGCTCTGGTGGGAGGGGCCACGTACAGAGACGCTGGAGACGCTGCTGTGATAAACACCACAGAAAATTAACAAGATTTTAATAGAAAATCACCCAAGGGCCAGATTAAAAGTCTTAGAGGGCCGGATCTGGCCCCCGGGCCTTATGTTTGACACCTGTGCTGTAGAGGAAGAGAAGAGAGGCTGAGAGGAGGAAAAGAGGGTTAGATGAGGACAGCAGAAGACTGATGGAGCAGAGGAGAGGATGAGAGGAGCAGAGGAAGACTGATGTTGTAGAGGAAGAGAACAGAGGGTCAAAGAAGGAAAAGAAGAAAGGAACAGAGGAAGACTGATGGAGCAGAGGAGGAGCAGAGGAAGAGGAGACGGGGTCAGGAGCAGAGGAGAAGGTTAGAGGAATGGAGAAGGTTAGAGGAACAGAGGAGGAACAGATGGAGCAGAAGCGATGCATATAAGAGGAGCAGAAGAAGCCTGATGGAGCAGCAGAGGAGGAGGAGAGAGAGGATCAGAGAAGGAAATGAAGAGAGGAACAGGAAAACTGGAGAAGAGGAAGAGAGATGGAACAGAGGAGAGGAGAAGAGGAAGGCTGATGGCATACAGGGGGAGAAGAGAGGGTCAGAGGAGGAGCAGAGGAGGAGAAGATCAGAGGAGGAACAGATGGAGCAGAGGAGGAGAAGAGAGGATCAGAGAAGGAAAAGAAGAGAGGAACAGGAAAACTGGAGCAGAGGAAGACTGATGGAACAGAGGAGAAGGTCAGAGGAACAGAGGAGGAGCAGATGAAGCAGAAGAGGAGAAGGTCAGAGGAAGAGCAGATGGAGCAGAGGAGGAGCAGAGTAAATCACGAGGCGACTCCGTGTTCGTTTGAAATGTTTGTTTATTGCAGTTTTGGTGCTGTACAGTTTTTTGGTGTTTGCTCGTTTGTGCACAGACAGAAACGCAGCCGCTTCACAAAAGATCTGGGTCAACTCCCTCTCAAATCACATCACTCACAGAACCAGGACCGGGACCAGGACCAGGACCAGAACCGGGACCGGAACCAGGACCAAGTCTCAAGTAAAAAGTGCTGAATTACCCTGATTTCATGTCGTTTCCTCGTCGACATTTCGACGCCGAAGCTCCCGTTTCACACAAAAGTGACTCTTTATGATGAGTCTGTCCACATCTCCAAAGCTCCAAACGCTCTGTTCCACCTTGTGATGTCACGAAGTGGTCGTTTTCAACAGTTTGAGCAGCTTCTTTTACCTTTAGCTCAGTAGAAATCGGCGACTCCAAACTATAGTTGTGTAATTAGAGCGTGACAATTTAGTTATTACAATTTTTTATCATGTTTGTTATTATTTATTATTTTTTTTTACATTTTTTATTATTGTTTATTATTATCCAAATTTTTTATTATTACTTGTTTTCATTTTAATCATTATTATTATTTCTTAAAATTGTATGTATACGTATATATTTTCTGTATATGTACATTTGCTGTATAATTATAAATTGTGGGGGGAAAAAAAAAAGAGCTTGACAATTCCAGGACTGAAAAAATGATCCAAATGATTCCAGTGAAAGTGTGTGGAGTTAAAAACACAGAGGAGCACTTCATGACATCACAAGGTGGAACGAGGTGTTTTTAGTTTTAGGAGAAGAAGTTGATTTGTGAGTTAAACGTGTGAATGAAACAAAAACAACAAAAAACAACTCCAGGTCTGTTTACGACGAGGAAACGACATGAGAACAGATCGGAAAAACTTTATGGAAACTACAAATAAATAAATAAAATAATAATCAGTGAGTTAAAACAAAAACAGCTGGAGTCACAGAGCAAAAAGTGGAGAGTTAAAACCGACTCACAGAATTAATTTTAACATTTTTTCAGAGATTATCTGAGTCCAATCTGTTCTAGAGTTAATTTAATATTTTTTAGAAATGTTGATTAAGTAACACTGGACCAGAGTTCCTGTTTAACCCCAAATCCAGAGTTATATTCACGTTTGGAGAGTAAACAGATAACACTTTGTAGAGTTAATCTGATTTAACTAAACAACACACAGAGGAGTTTTATTTTGACACTTTATTTGAGTTAATTTAAGATTAAATTATCAGTTTGAACCAAAACTGGTTCAAACTGGTTCTACTCTCACGGGAGTTTGAAGTGGTGGGAGGAGACAAATTAACACTAAGAGAAGTTGAAATAACACTAAAAAGCTGAATTAATATTAGATAAAGTTGAATTAACACTAAGAAAAGTTGAATTAATATTAGATAAAGTTGAATTAACACTAAGAAAAGTTGAATTAATATTAGATAAAGTTGAATTAACACTAAGAAAAGTTGAATTAACACTAGAGGAAGTTGAATTAACACTGGACAAAGTTGAATTAACACTATGGGATGTTGAATCAACTTCAACCAAATCAACTCTGGCAAATAACCCCAACTCCAACCCCCATTTAACTTTCAAATAGTTAAAATTACACTTTCTGTTGTGTTAAAAACAACTCTGAAATATTGTACTCTGAAATTTTAACTCCAGTTTTTGTTGTGTGTACAGTGTCCAGACGGGACAGTCCCAGTGTTGAGCCTGTGTCTCTGTCCCAGCACATTTACACAAAACCACAGATTTTTTATTTTTTTTTTTATACGAGAAATGTCCCAGTGTTTCTATTTTTGACCAATCTGATCCTGCGACAGTAAAGAGAAACAGAAACTGACATTTGTTTGGGTAAAATACAAAAAATCCGCTTAAAAAACGACAAAAACACAAAGAAAATGTGACTAAAGTGACTCGTGTTCGTCGTGAATGAGCCGAGTGCAGAACAGTTTTCCTTAATTACGACTCGTTTCACAGTTTAATTATTCCCGAGCACCACAAACCGAAACCGTTTTTTTATTTTGAAAATCTGGTCCCTGTAAACCAGGAGTGTCCAAACTTTTTTCATCAAAGGCCACAAATCTAATCCCAGACGAAGCAGAGAGGAGACGAGCTGAATAAGGCTGTGCCAAAATATCGAAACACTGACATATCGTATCGTTTAACGTGATGATTCAGTATCGATATCCTGGCCTGCTGTATCGATATATCGCCAAGAGGATTTTTTTTTTTTTTGGTTTATTTTACTAAATTATTTTGTTACAGAGCTACAGTTTTGTTACAGTTACAGTCCTGGTCTAGTCCTGGTCTGGTCAGTCCTGGTTTAGTCCTGGTTTAGTCCTGGTCTGTCTGGTCTAGTCCTGGTTTAGTCCTGGTCTAGTCCTGGTCTAGTCCTGGTCTAGTCCTGGTTTCCTAGTCCTGGTCTAGTCCTGGTCTAGTCCTGGTCTAGTCCTGGTCTAGTCCTGGTCTAGTCCTGGTCTAGTCCTGGTCTAGTCCTGGGTCAGTCCTGGTCTAGTCCTGGTCTAGTCTCCTGGTCTAGTCCTGGTCTAGTCCTGGTCTAGTCCTGGTCTAGTCCCGGTCCCTGGTCTAGTCCTGGTCTAGTCCTGTCCTGGTCTAGTCCTGGTTTAGTCCTGGTTTAGTCCTGGTCTTAGTCCTGGTCTAGTCCTGGTCTAGTCCTGGTCTAGTCCTGGTCGGTCTAGTCCTGGTCTAGTCCTGGTCTAGTCCTGGTCTAGTCCTGGTCTAGTCCTGGTCTAGTCCTGGTCTAGTCCTGGTCCTGGTCTAGTCCTGGTCTAGTCCCGGTTCAGTCCTGGTCTAGTCCTGGTCTAGTCCTGGTCTGGGTCCTGGTCTAGTCCTGGTCTGGGTCCTGGTCTAGTCCTGGTCTAGTCCTGGTCTGGGTACTGGTCTGGTCCTGGTCTAGTCCCGATCTAGTCCTGGTTCAGTCCTCGTTTAGTCCTCGTTTAGTCCCGGTTTAGTCCTGGTCTAGTCCTGGTCTGGTCCTGGTCTAGTCCCAATCTAGTCCTGGTTCAGTCCTCGTTTAGTCCCGGTTCAGTCCTGGTCTAGTCCTGGTCTAGTCCTGGTCTGGTCCTGGTCTGGTCCTGGTCTAGTCCTCGTTTAGTCCTCGTTTAGTCCCGGTTCAGTCCCGGTCTAGTCCCGGTCTAGTCCCGGTCTAGTCCTGGTCTGGTCCTGGTCTGGTCTAGTCCTGGTCTAGTCCTGGTCTAGTCCGGTCTAGTCCTAGTCCTGGTCTGGGTCTAGTCCTGGTCTAGTCCTGGTCTAGTCCTGGTCTAGTCCTGGTCTAGTCCTGGTCTAGTCCTGGTCTAGTCCTGGTCTAGTCCTGGTCTAGTCCCGGTGATCTGCTCGGTGATTGTGGTGTATATATTTATACTCTGCTAATGTTTGTGTCTCTGGTTCTCGGGTCTTTCTCTTTCTTCTGGATAATAACGTCTCTACGTCTCTGGATACTCGTCCCTGATTGGTTGATGCGCCGCGTCCGACGTGAAAAGTTCAGCATTTTCAACTTCTGACGCTGACGGCCTGGACGCATGTCTAGAGCGTCGACGCCAGAACTCTGAAGACACGCCGCAAAAAAGCAGGACGCCCCAGACGCCCCAGACGCCCCAGACGCCCCTCCACAGACTTTACATATAAACTGGTCTGAACATCTCCTTTAGAATGATTCGTCTTTATTCACGCTAAAATCCTTAAAATCACACACTAAATATTAAATGTTAATTTTATCAAGGTCGATTTTCAAAAAACTTGCAGTAAAAAGTTCATTTATATTTGATACGAGGTCATTTGGGTCAATTCACCCGGAAGCCTGAGGGCCAAGAAAAATTTATCTGAGGGCCGCGTTTGGCCCACGGGCCGTAGTTTGGACATGCCTGGTCTGAACCGTCAGGACTTGGAGCGGAATTTTACTCCAAAACATCTCAAACTTTGAATCACTGAGTTTTACAAAAAAACTGAAAAGAGTTTGGTGAATTAAAATCTCTGCACCTGATTTTTATGGGGTTTTTTTTTTTTTTTTTTTACAGTTTTTCTGCAATGAGGAAAAACGAATTTGTGCACTAAACTTTTCGGCTGAGGGTTCGTCTTCTGTTTGTTTCTATGGATACGTCACAGCTCTGCCTGGAATGTTCCGCAGTGTGACTTTAAACAGCTCGACTTTACATTTACTCAATCACAGGTGCAGGTTTTACGGCTCAAACATCCCTCGAAAAACAGACGCCTCTCCACAGACCTGACCCGGAACTTGGTCCGGTTTGGAGATCGGTGGAGATAAAAAAAGGTTTAGTGACATAATAAATCCAAAATATGAATAAAAAAGAAAAGAAAGGAAAGAGAAAGAAAGAAAGAAAGATGAATAAATAAAGTCCAGAGATACAGACTGAGCAGGAGACAAATGGAGGTTTAAGTCCAGACTTTGGTCCTGGTCTGGTCCTGGTCTGGTCCTGGTTTATCCTGGTTTAGCTCGTCCCTCTCCTCCTCCTCCTCCACTCCTCCTTTTCTTTCTTCTCTTTCTTCTCTCACTCTTTCATTCTCTCTCTAGCCCTCTCCTCCTCCTCCCTCTCTCCTCCTCTCCACACTTGAGGATCTTGCGGTGGTCCATCCTCTCTCCTCTCTCCTCTCTCCTCTTTCCCGTCTTTCACCTCTCCTCCCTCGTTCCCAGGCAGCCCCTGCTCTCTCCTCGTTTCCTAGCTGTCTCTCTCTCTCTCCTCCCTTGTTCCCTCCTCCCCTCATTCCCTCGTTCCTAGCAGCCGCCCCTCTCTCCTCCCTGATTCCCTCGTTCCCTGATTCCCTTGTTTCCTTGTTCCCTCGTTCCCTTTTTCCCTCATTCCCTTGTTTCCTCGTTCCCTCGTTCCACGATTCCCTCCTTCCCCGATTCCCTCGTTCCCTGATTCCCTTGTTCCCTCATTCCCTTGTTCCCTCATTCCCTTGTTCCCTTGTTCCCTTGTTCCCTGTTTCCCTTGTTCCCTCATTCCCTTGTTTCCTTGATTCCCTTGATTCCCTTGTTCCCTCGATTCCCTGATTCAGCCGTACTCCCCCTTCTTTCCTCCCTCATTCTCTTGTTCCCTCTCTCCTCGTCCCTCTCTCCTCTCCTCGTCCCCTCGTTCCTCTCGTCCTCCTCCCTCGTCCCTCGTTCCCTCGTTCCTAGCAGCCGTACTCGGGCGCCGTGCGACACTTGAGGATCTTGAGGTAGTTCTGGACCTTGTTGGCGTCTCTCCTGAAGCAGAGCAGCAGGTCCGAGTTCTGGAGCTGGAGCCACTCGGAGCTTTCGGACGAAGACTCGGGCGACGAGAGGCCGCTCACGAAGTTCCCCATCATCCCCAGCGTCTGCATCTGGAGCACGGGCAGAGGTCAGAGGTCAGAGGGCAGAGGTCAGAGGTCAGACGGCACAACATGTTTCAGTGCCCATGTCACACGGTTCTAAAGTTCTACAGTCGTTTCCTTGTCACAAACTCAGACCTGGACTCGTGTTTTTTCAGAGCAGCCTTATCTCCTGATCTTAAAAAGTCTTAAAAAGCTCTTAAATTCCATGTTCCAAATTTAAGGCCTTAAAAAGTCTTAAATTCTGTTGTCCAAGTGTTTTTCACAAAGGTCTAAAAGCAGGAGAGTCAAACTCATTTTGTTCCGGGGGTCGTGTCCAACTGGCTTTGATCCCAAAGTGTCTGGATCAGAAAACTCATGTCATATAAACCCCAAAAATAACAATAAGTTCAAATATTTGTGCAGAGAAACACAAATCTATTACAG